AGTGAATTGTGTTACATTAACCCGCGCCGGGCCGGGGGGGGGGGTGTTTGAACACCCCCCCCTGCGGTTTTTCGCAGATATCTCAAAAACGGCGGCGTTTTTGGCACACCTGTTCGTGCATCTTTTCCGCACATGTTGTGAAAATTTCAGATTGATTTCAGCTGATGCTCAAATGGAGCCATTCATTCGTTCAACCATGCGACCATCCAATTCCATTCATAAAAGAAGCCAGTGACAAAATTGTTCATTTTAGATATAAGTGTGAAATATAAAAGTTTAAATGATACTCAATAAAAGTTAAATGATACGGCAAATTTGACAGCTTTTATAATGAACAGACAAATAACTTAAACAAATCAAGGTTGAGAGCCCCAAATAGGAGAGAGTGAGGTAAGATGAGCCAAGGGGCAAGTTTAGCCACCCCATGTTTCTCAGCTCCTATGGCGCTAATTGACTTGAGCTTCCATGTGCCGTTCGCTTACGAGGCTGCAGTCTTTCACGTGAGACGGCAACGTTCTCACGCTCAGCACCCGGTAACATGTGGTATCGCCCCTGATAACTAAGACATGTTTTGCCTTTAAAATGAGATGGTTGTTATCTGCGGTGCATGGTTATTTTCCTTAGCGGGTGTCATTAATCGAAAATGGCCACGGGCGGGGCAAGACGAGCCATTTTCACCTGGGGGAAAATGAGCCGGATAAGCCATTGTTGTCTCCGCTGTCGAAAACCAAACTGAGCTGCGCTTGTTTCTGCTGAATAAAAATGGTAGGAAATTGTTTTTCTTTGTTGATTACACAAGTTCTAAGTGATTTGCAGATTATCTGAAGGATAAAATGATTTCTTCCGTGATAGAAAACTTGAGTTATTGGAATGCTTAACCCTATTCCTGGCGGGGGGGGGCCTCAGGAGCCCCCCCCTGAGGTTTTTTGGTTATATCTCCCAAACGCGTTGAGCTAGGAAGCTCAAATTTTCTGACTTTTCCTAAAAGGCTTCTACGCAACATGTCTGAAAATTTTGAGTTGATCTGACCTCAGGTCAGGTCACCAGAGGCGGTTTGGTGACGCTACCTCAGAAAAGTTTGCAATCACGCCAGAGCTAGAGTTTTTGACCGATCAATTTCTTCTCTTCAGGGTTTAGTTAGGGTACCAGTATGTGCAATTTGTATATCTCGGAATTTTGATATCGGTGACCTAAGGTCAGGTCAATTTCGCGACCTCCCCATTATAAGTCAATGGGGGAAAAATCAACTCCCTGTTTTTACCACTAAAACGGGTCGGAATGGCCCCATATACCATACATGACTTCATATACGATCAACCTTCACTACCTTGAGGTCTGTTTTGCTGTTGGGCAGCTGTGAGGTCATGTGACGTCATCAAAGGTCACCAAAGGTTTTTGGCCAATAACTCCGTACAGGAACAAGATACAGACGCGTGGATGGTCTCATTATGTTCAGCTCGTCAAGACGCATCGAATGATATACATGATGACCTCGAGGTCACGTGACCTGAGGTCAACCTTTGACCTTGACCTTTCGAGGTCAACATATATTTCATTCGATGCGGATTGACGAGAGGATCACGATGATGCCCTTAGTTTGTTCCTATCTTGACTAATTCGAAAGTTATTCGAGAAAAACTCTCTCCATATCTAGTGCCGCCATTTTGACTTTTTCGACCCCTGTGACGTCATCTTTGACCTGACCTGAAAATGACCTTTGTAAAAATTGTAGATCTTGGCCGTGCGTATCCGATGCCGTTTACCGCTTGTCGCTATCTTGCTTCGTTCTCGAGATCTCAGGGGGGGGGCCGAATCGGCCCCCCCCCGCCAGTTTCTTGTCCCGGCGGAGCCCGCCAGGAATAGGGTTAAAACAGTCACTTTTTGATGGAGGAAAAAACTTTGCCATAAGTATGCATGCCATGGAGTAAATAAAAGAGCTCACTCTTCGCCGCGCCCGGGAAAAGAAGAGGTTCGCTTTTTCTATCCATGCTCAACTTTCCCCTGTTGTTTGGGGGACTGGGGAGGGTGGTTACTGGCTCATTAACTGTCCCCTTCCCAAAAAAAGAAAAGAAAACGAAACCGATCATCCGCGAAAAGAACTATTGAGCTCGAACCAAGGTGACGAATCGATTTATAGGTATGCAAGATGACTAACGATGCCACTTTTTGACTTCTTGTGTCAAATAAATTCCATCATCTGGATAGCACGTCAACATTCTATTTGACATTTTGCTTGACATTTTGCAACAAACGTATACTATTTGGCGCGACTAGCCTCATAAATGTTCTGAAACTAAAACCGTTTCTTAGCAATTAACTTGGACCACGTCATCCCAGCTTATGCACGACAAAAATAAAATAATGCTTCAGGATCACTGGCCTGAATTCCAATGCTTAAAGTTTACTCAAAACCGATGTGGCTGAGGCACTCTTCGCTACATCTCGTGACGGCCACCATTGTGTTGCATTTTTTCGGTAAGCTATAAGTTAACCCGCGAGTTGCTGGGGGGGGGGCGTTAAACGCCCCCACTTTTTTCGCCGGGCCATAGCATTAAAACGGCGCGCCGCAGACGCGCCAAATTTTAAATACCTGTAGGGAATTGATTGAAGTTTATTGTGACAAAGTTTCAAAAAAATCGATCAGATAATTTTTTAGATATCGAGGTTTTAGTGACGTCATGATTTCTGAGTTTTCAGCCAAAAACGGCATATGTTCAAAAAATCATATAAAATCACAGAAAAGACATACAGACATGCCGTAAACGCCATTAGACTGCCAATACCATGAACAACCAAATGGCTATCTTCGATTATTGATTATCGTTCCGCATTTTCCAAAATCTTGAACTGAATCTCGGCAATTTCTCGTGACTACTTTACGACCATGATACATGCATTTCTTAAATTTAACTTTTTGAGCCAAACACGTACACATATGATAAAATGAATGTCACCATCGTGTTCTACGCCCCAAATTACCCATAAAACATGTGTCACAGGCTGCGAATATCAGTTTTGATTTTCGGGGATATGTGCCTACCCGGTTGACCTGACCTTGACCCTGACCTATGCTTGACTGACCCATACATGGAGCTGACACTCTTGTAGGCCTTATATGATGGATTGTGCACCGTTTTGACAGAGTTTATGACGAGAGGCGCCCATTGCGAAGTCCTGAAGTCCATGCTACTGAAAGCCCGATTTCAGGTGTTTGACCTGACCTTGACCCGACCTGTGACCTCAAAATTCAACTTTAAAGTACTCATCTGAAGCGTCTCGTCGCGTTCTTTCGTTTGCCGCCTCGTGCGTTTCGCTGCGCCTATTGGTTCTCGAGTTATCGGCTGGGGGCGTTTAACGCCCCCCCCCCCCCAGCAAACGGTGGGTGGCGAAATACCCCAGCAACTGCCGGGTTAATAAGGAAATGATTGGTGAGTGGGTTGAAAACAGCCCTCGCCCTCCACCCCCCCCCCCCCCTCCTTCTTCTGGAAACATAAGAAACCGAAAGATAGTCTGGCGATGGTTTATCCACCTCCTCTGCCGCCGCGCTGCGAGGCCTCGATTCGTTCGATATGTGGCTTCCTGAGCGGTCCTCCCCAGAGGCAAGGTGAAAGGTCATGGCCTGTATCAGAAATTTATACGTTGCTGAATATGTTTTATAGTTCTTCCAAGGCCTTGGACACCGTTTTATTATATCGGATAAGCATTGCACTTTCTCGTCAATCAATACATTAAGGAAAACTTGATAATAATCTTATACTGCGGCAATTGTAGTTCTGCTTACGGTTGCCTCTTTATGATACGGGCCACCACCACCTCCAATGCGCTGGAGCTCTGGCGTTCTACCCCTCCCCGCTACGGACCGGCCCTCGGGCTAGGTGTGTTAGTACTGAGCGCAAACCTGTAGTAGTCACGTGACTTTCATTCACGTAGCGGGAACGGAAGCTAGTGGCGATACCAAGGACGGGCTCTGGGGAGGCAACCGGCGCGGAAAAATAGCACGATTGTAGTTTTGGAAGAATATCTGTTGCGGTAAGAGGAATTATACAAAACATACGTCCTAGGAGCAAACATGTGTTATTCCTCCATACTTTGCGCTACATTTCCTTTCTCCAATGGCCAGCACTTAGCAAATAATAGCGCAATTCTAAATTGGTAATATATGTGTACAGTAGCAACTGCGGGTCCCTGTACACTCTCGGTAGGTAGCTTAAACAGCAAGTACTGGGTGCTTCCCGCCCACCTCCGACACTAATACTCAGACATGATCGATAATTTTTGAATATTTTGTGGAATTCTCTAACCAACCTATCTCAAATCTGAGTGCCTTACCTCGTCAAGCTCCGCTCCTCTCTCAGTCTCCCCTTTCTACACGTAAACCCCTATCCCTGCCCCGACCACCCGACCAGGTCAAGTCCTACCGTCCCATCAGTCTGCTGAGCTCGACGTCGAAGCTGCTGGAACGCCTCATCAACCGCCGCCTGATGTATCTGCTGGAACAACGTCAACTCCTGAACCCCAACCAGGCCGGTTTCCGGAAACACAGGTCGACGGAGGACCAGATCCTGAGGCTGGTACAGGCGACGGCGGACGGCCTTGAAGAAAGGAAGCGGACCCTACTGGTGACGGTGGACTTCTCCACAGCCTATGACAAGGCATGGCGCACGGGCCTCCTCTGGAAGATGTCCCGCCTCGGGCTCCCCCGTTGCTACATAGCATGGTTCCGGGCCTTCCTCCGGGACCGTCAAGCATGCGTGAGAATCAACAACACAAGGAGCAAGTTCCGGGTCCTCCGCGACGGCACTCCCCAGGGCGCGGTGACATCCCCGGCGCTCTTCAACATCTTCATCAACGACATCACCGACGACTTCCCACCGGGCGTGTCGGCATCGCTGTACGCCGACGACCTAGCCATCAGGTGCAGCGACCGTGACGTCTCTGCCGCCGAGACCAAGGTGTAGCGTGCCCTGGACAGCCTGGAGGAGTGGGCCCGACGCTGGAAAATGGTGGTCAGCCTGGAGAAGACTACCTCCACTATCTTCACCCTCGACCCAGCTGAGGCACGGCGAGAAGCGGCACTCCATTTCCAGGGCCAACCAGTGAAGTTCTCCCCCACCACGACGTTCCTGGGCATCACCCTCGACAGGAGCCTCACCTTCATGGGACATGTGAAGACGATCAACGCCAAGATGCTCCAAAGGAACAACGTCCTCCGGGCTATCAGCGGCACGACGTGGGGCTGCTCACCGTCTGATCTGCGCAGCACCTACCTCGCCTTCTCCCGTGCCTGCGCCGACTACGCCGCCGGTGCTTGGATGCCCGGCCTCAGCGAGTCTGGCCTGAGGGAGCTGGAAATGGTGCAGAGACAGGCGTGTAGGACGATCACCGGCTGTGTCAGATCCATACCAGTGGACGCCCTGGCCAGAGAGGCGGATCTCCTGCCTTTCTCGGCGCGGCGGAGGCAGTTGGCGGCTGTGGCGATGGAGCGCCACTCCCGGGACCTACCAGACGACCCTGTGCAGCGGATCCTCCTTCCTGAGAACCGGCCCCGGCAACGTCTGCGCTATGATAGAGGATGGGCACGGACGGGCCAAGAGCTATCCAAAGACGCCGGCCTAGACGACTTCCCACGCGAACCGTTTCTGGTGGTTGCCAACACCCCTCCCTGGGAGTCACCCACCACCACCAACGGTTTTCTTCCACACTGGACTCGCGAGGCCGGTGCCGCACAACGCCCCCGCCGAACAGCGACGGACTGCCGCCGAGGAGACAATAGCCGGACTGCCGAACCCGGACGTCCAGGCTTTCACGGACGGCTCGGCCTCAGCCGGCACAGAACGAGGCGGAGCAGGGGCAGTCGTCTACAGGAGCGGCAGGGAAGTGAAGAGGATCCGAGCGCCAGCGGGGCGCTTCACGTCGAGCTACACAGCGGAGCTCCTCGCTCTACGTGAAACACTCAAATACATCGAGTCCATCCTCACCGATCAAGAACCTGCACTCAGTATCCAGCTGTGCACCGACTCCCTATCATCCCTCATGCGCCTGAGGGAGGGCCCGGCCAACCAGACTGAACGGGTCGCTGACCAAGTCTGGCTATCCCTCCGGCGACTAGGACGACGCCACCGCGTGGACCTTCAGTGGGTTCCCGGTCACGCGGGAGTCGCCGGCAACGAGATCGCCGATGCCGTGGCCAGGGAGGCCGCTGAGCTGCCGCAGTACGGGACACCTATCACCTTCGCGGCGGCCAAGAGCCTGCTGAAGCGCCACGTAAGCAGAGAGTGGGTGGAGAGCACGCGCCACTCCCGACCTGCGCCCGCGACCCGCCCGCACCTAAGCCACGACTACCACGATGTCGTCGGCCCGGGCAGGGTCAGGCTGGCAGACAGGCTCGGCCTGTCCAGGAGAGAGGGCACCGCTTTGGTGCGCCTCCGGACCGGCCACTCTCCTGCCCTGCAAGCGTACCGTCACTTCATCGGGATGGAGGAGGACGACGGATGCCCGACCTGCGACGGCGGAGTCAGGGAGGACGCGGAACACTTCCTGACGTCGTGCCCCGCGACGGCCCGCGTCCGACACGACGTTTTTGGGAGAGAGGACCCGACGCTGCGGGAGGTCTTCGCTGACCCGTGCCGGGTTATCGAGTTCCTGCGGCGCCTGGGCCGACTATAGAGCGCCCACGGCGCTAGACACTCTGGCGGGGTGCTGGTTTCTCCGGCCCTACCCCGGCGTCTGAGCCCGCCGGAACCCGTCTGGGGGCCTGCTGCCCTCCCTGCGCGGACGTCGCAAGTGTCGCCCCCCGAGGGGGGCTGGGGCCCTCCCGGGCCCCCCATGTGGGCCCACCGGACCCGACGGCCGGAACGCCAACAACAACAACCCCCCCCCCCACACACACACCCTCCTTCTCCGCTCCGCCACTTATGATCGGTAATGTTTTCAGTGCTAAAGATAGGGTGACCCAAAATCAATATCACACCCTCCTACAACCTTCATTTTGCCTTCTACGGCGTAATATCAATATTATTTCGGCGTTACTTGCTCCTTGAGAACATATTGGCTGAATTCTAGTCACGTGACCTTCGAATTTTTGTGACCCTGACCGGTCAAGAGGTGTACAGAGGCTATCTTCGGGGCAGTACCCAGCGCGAGCGGACCAGGTGTCAGAGCGGATAGACGCTTCAGAACAAGCTAGGTCGCGGTATGAAGACTTCCGCTGGTCGGGTAGCGCAGATCGTCATTGCGAAGTGTGGAGCTTAAGACGGGCAAATCCAAAAGGGAACTGGCAAGGAGGCTGACCGCCAACGAACGTCCTTAAGTCGACAATCCATCGGTAACCGAAGTTGTCTTCTAGTTGAAGCCCACCAAGCCACGTCTCCAGCTGAAAACTTCTTCTGAACATGTCCAGGGTCATCTTTCAACAGCTCGGCGCCCCGGATCATGGAGCTAAAACGACCTAGGACTGGTGCAGATCGTGTTGACACCTACTACGAATACCCGGCAAAACCGCTGCTGGTTGACCTGAACTTAGCTGACCCGACCTGGCCTAAATGCATGAAGACATCATCTGCGACAAAAACTAACATAATATTCGTGATTAGCACCCCGAATAGCCCCGTAACAGCCAGACTTTACGACCCTCTAACTGGTCCCGATTTTACCGACTTTTGGACCATTGACCTGGCCTGGAAGGTCAATCAATGACCTAGGACCTTTAAATTGGGTATCATCGGCTTCCTCTTGTCACGGGCAACACGCTCGTTTTTTTTTTTTTCGCGAAGCTCTAGCTCGATCAGGGGTGAAACGGCAAGGGGGTCCAACGGACTCCCCCCCCCCCCTTATACGTTCGCGGCTGTCAAAACATCAATACGGGCGAAAGGGAGTGTGTCACCACTAGACTAGTTATTTGACCATATTCTATTAGGTATTTATTTATATTTATTTATTTATGATCTCAGGGGTAGTGCGTCACCGCTAGACTAGTTATTTGACCATATACTTTTAGGTGTTTATTTATATTTATTTATTTACGATCTCAAGCCTCCACGTGGTAGGTTTTGACCCTCGCATGTGTAGGGGTGGGGGCTCGGATGGACCCCCCCCCCATGGTTTTTCGCGAATAACTCGCGCAAAATGCGGCCGATCGCGACGAAACTTTCAGTACCTTCGAGTTGATCAATTTTACACCTACTCTGAAAATTTTATGACCCTAACCCAAGTGACCTTTGACCTGTGATCTATTTCTCGAGGCCATGTTTGGCCGGAATCGCGATTGGGCGTATGTCGGCTCGCATTAGCCGCGCGTTTGCAAGGCTCTCGTGGTTTCAAACGCTCAAACATGAGATTTGATGTTGCTCCCATGCATTTGGATGGATGTCAAGGTCACCTGAAGGTCAGGTCAGGTCATTGACCTTTGGTGACCTCGGCTCACTTTTTCGAGCTGTACATGTTCAGCCTCTGACAGCTTCGTAACATGTCACGAAGGCACCAAAACTACTTCGTAAATGTTCATATGGTTGCTAAATTCGGATTCAGCTAAAAAACTAGCCTAGAAACATGTTAAAGTTAACCGAGGTCATTAAAGGTCAGTGACCTGACCTGAGCTTCAAGTGAACTTGACACCCACCCTACTGCATAGGAGCAATATCATATCACATGTTTGAACGCTTGAAACCACGAAAAGAGTGCAAACGCGCGGCTATTAGGAGACGATATACGCCGAATCGCGATTCCGGCCATACATGGTCTCGAAAAGTAGGTCACAGGTCAAAGGTCATTTGTTTCAGGGTCATGCAATTGTCAGGGTAGGTGTAAAATTGATAAACGCGAGGGTAATGAAAGTTTCGTCGGGATCAGCGGCTTTTTACGCGAGTTATTTGCGAAAAACCGTGAGGGGCTGTTCGACCCCCCCCCCCCCTCCTATACCGGCGACGGTTAAGGGGAGGGGCGTTTCGCACGGTTCTTCCTACCTAAGATCATTGTTAAGATCTGAAATGATAAATCAAAACATGGCTCACAGCAGGGCTGAAGCGTGAAATACGCAAGCATGGCTACTCAAGCTTGATCAGCTCAACGATTCAAAAAGAACAAGCAGTTCAGGCTCTCCGCCGATGATGACAGCCTGGTCGGGTAGTTCGCTCCGCGACAGCGTCCGTCTGCTTTGTGCGGCGCGGCACGGCTCGGCGGGAGGGGAGGCAGGCGATGCGTCTGAAAGGCGACGCTTGGGCGTCCCGGGAATCACCTGTCACCATGCGGCGCGGCGGTCGGTCCCTCCGACCCTTCCCATTGTTACCTGACTGTGGGTGCCGGTCCCCTGGAAGGGTCACTTTGGTATGCGAAATCTTCACTCGTTAATCGGACAGGAGGGGAGCAGTAGACATTCGGTGGAGTAGGCGATTCGGGCGTAGGTCAGCCGGGCGTAGACATTCGATGGAGTAGGCGATTCGGGCGTAGGTCAGCCGGGCGTAGACATTCGATGTAGTAGGCGATTCGGGCGTAGGTCACCCGAGCGTAGGTCAGCCGGGCGTAGACATTCGATGGAGTAGGCGATTCGGGCGTAGGTCAGCCGGGCGTAGACATTCGATGGAGTAGGCGATTCGGGCGTAGGTTAGCCGGGCGTAGGTCAGCCGGGCGTAGACATTCGATGGAGTAGGCGATTCGGGCGTAGGTCAGCCGGGCGTAGACATTCGATGGAGTAGGCGATTCGGGCGTAGGTCAGCCGGGCGTAGGTCACCCGGGCGTAGACATTCGATGGAGTCGGCAATTCGGGCGTAGGTCACCCGGGCGTAGGCCACCCGGGCGTAGGTCACCCGGGCCTGAGCCTTGAAAAAGTGCAGTCTTCTCTGCCCGCGCTGTAGGTGCATATCTGCCTCGCAGATGCGACGATAGTAACGCGGCGCCCAGTTCCTTACTCGTACAACCTAAATCCCGGTCGTTTATTTACATTCTCCTTTTGATTGCATCGTGTGCTTGCGCTCTAGCCATTGATGTTTCTTGCACTGTGTAACTGGCATGTGTAACTGGCGGCCCCCTATTGCGCTCTCCGACCCGCTAAGGCGGAGTCGTTGAGAGCCAACGCCGACTGGCAGCCAAGGTGTTTACGCCTGTGGTCGCCGGGCGCCCCTCCCCAGCACGGGGCCGTCATTATCCCTTCCCTTTTACCTCCTACACATTAGATTAAACAACTGTAGGGGTTTTTTCCCCGCGCTCTTTGGCTTCAGCGCGGGGTTTTCCCCTTTGCAATAGGCGTCAGGTTTTTTTTTGTTATTTAGGACTTTTTCCCTGACCAATACACCCCACACCAGTACACTGACACCTTACACAAGTGTATGAATATGTGATGTAAATAAATGTTACCGTTTCTTCATCTGTGTTTTGTTCCGGCTTTTTCGGCACTTCGGCAAAAGTAAGTTCCCCCATTAGATTTGCTCACACACACTAAGGATAGGCTCCCACGTTGCTATTGCTTCCGGGTTCACATAAACCGGCTTAACGTAAAACTTTGTTCCTGGCCAAAATTGCCAGATGTAATGACCCCCGGCTCCAGACTGGCTTTAGGCTGGCGGAGCAAAAAAAAAAAAAAAAAAAAAAAAAAAAAAAAAAAAAAAAAAAAAAAGATGCGTAGCTGATACGCTCTCGGTAGGTAGTTTAAAAAGTAAGTAGATAAAAGATGCTTCCCCACCCCGCTCCACCCCGCTCCGAACCTACCCTTCCCCTTTCTCCCTAACCCTCCCTCCCTGATTTCATCCATCTTCCCTCCCCTTCCGTCACTTCCACCTTCTGACTCTCGCTCACTAACCCAATCATATACTCACTTGCCTCTGCCCATCTGTCTCTCTCCTTCCCCTCCCGGTCTCTTTTATCACACTTCTTCGCTCTCTTCCTCCCTCTTCTGCCACATACTTCCTTCCTTTCCCTCCCTTCTAATCTCATATTGGTATTTGAAAAAGTACTGGCTTCTTCTTAGCCCGCGCCGCAGATACATATACGTTTTTAAGTCCCAGTTACTGAAGCTATATATTAACCCGCGCATGACTGGGGGGGCTCTACAGAGCCCCCCTCATGTTTTTCAGCAATATCTTCTAAACTGTTTGACGGATCAACACGAAACTTGCGGTACCTTCAGAGGCATCAATTTGACACCTTGTATTAAAAATTTCAACCTTCTACCTACCATAGTTTAGCCGGAAATGACGTCAGAGTGACGTCATGTCGGCCGATTTTCATGCAAAATACTGAAATACCGCAAACGCTCTCAAGAGCTCAGTTTTAAAGCTAGATCCATTTTCTTTGCATGAGTGGACTACAAATACACGTAGCTATCGAACTGCTATCTCGAATTTTCGAAATTTTGAAAATTTTGAAAAATATTAATTTACAATTACAAAAATATATTTTTTGATTTTTTTCAAAAAATTTTTTGACGTTTCGAAAAACCGGAATATATGTGATAGAACACACACTAATGAACTACATTTGCAAGTTTTAGCCCAATATCTTCAAAAATAGCCAAGTTATTCGCATTATTGTCAAAATTTTACAATTTTATGTTTTTTTTTTCAAATCCATTTTTCAGTACGTTTTTGACGTCGTACAGCAATATAAATGGCACCATCGTGTTCCTGAGCTCAAACTGCATCTGATAGGCACCTTTTTTGTTGAAAATTTCATTTTCA